TTCCTTTTATCATTATTAATATTTTAATGATGATGATTATTATTACTGTTACTCTTTTTGTTGATATTATTATAGAAATTATCAGTATGATTCTTCTATCTTATGATGATTATTGTTATTATCGCTATTATTAATAGTATTCTTATCCTTATCGGTGTTATGATTATTGTTATTCTTAGTTTCATTATTTTGTTATTATCACTATTATATTACTATCATTATCATTATCATCATCATTATTGTTAATGCTGTTATTATTATCATTATTGTTAGTACCGTTATTATTATCATTATTATTGTCATTATCATAATCATCATTATCATTATCATAACCTTTGTGGCTTTAATCCAAAATAATTACCTCGGTAGTCTTAAACATTCAAGCAACATCTATATGTATATCTTTTATTTTTATGATTGCATTGTCCGTCTTTTTAATTAGAGCCGGTTATTCCGAGAGTTTTATGGTAATGACTGAACTAGGATTTTCTTGTATGTGTGATTTGTATGGCAGTCTGCACACACGCACGCACACACACACACACACATACACACACATAGACATACAACTACATACACACACGCATACACACACACACACACACACGCACACACACACGCACACAGACACGCGCACACACACACACACACACACACCATCATCGTCATCACTATCCTCCTCCTCCTCATTCATATCATCATCCACCATCCTCATCATCTTCCTCTCCCTCCTCATCATTATCCTTCTCCTCCTCCTCTTCACCATCACTTCTCCTCCTCCTCCTCACCATCACTTCTCCTCCTCACCATCACTTCTCCTCCTCACCATCACATCTCCTCCTCCTCCTCCTCATCACCATCACTTCTCCTCCTCCTCCTCCTCACCATCACATCTCCTCCTCCTCCTCCTCCTCACCATCACTTCTCCTCCTCACCATCACTTCTCCTCCTCATCATCATTATCATCAGCAGCATCACCATCACATCTCCTCCTCCTCTCCTCCTCACCCGTCACTTCCAGCGTCGCACCCCCAGCCTCACCGCCCCTCCGTCCGCAGGTCTTCATCGACACCTTCATCTACGCCCTGCGGCTGCCTGACATCCGGAAGGCGCTGGCGACGATGTGGGAGGCGGCGAGGAAGTGCGCCCGAGGAAGACCTGTCCCCGGCAACGACCTCTCGCGCCTCTCCTCCTCGAGGACGACCTCCATCCAGCTGTCCCTGAGCTCCTCGAGTCTCCACAGGTCGTGCTAGGGGGGGAACGCTCGTGGTGTCTGGCTTTGGGATCGTGTTCTTGGGGTTGGGAGGAGGAGGGGGAGGGGGAGGGGAGGGGAGGGGGGAGGGGGAGGGGGGAGGGGGGAGGGAGGAGGGGGAAGGGGAGGGGGAGGGGAGGGGGAGGGGGGAAAGGGAGGGGGCTGTCAGTTGCCTTACTGGGGGGTTATGGATGAGAATGGAATATTCACCAATAAGAGATGAGTAATTGGTGTTATTCTGTTGTTCTGGTCGTTCATTCTCCTTTATACCGTCTTTCGACAATTGTCACAGTAATTTTTTATTCAAATCATCCTCAGGTTGTGATAATGGACAGCTATTTCTATAATCTAAAAAATACTGGGCTTCATTATACTACAATTTTGAGTTCATATTCCATAAGCATATTTTTGTTAGGAATAATATTACGCAGTCTCCACTGTTATTGCAGTTTTGCAATAAACTTTGTCGTTTAGATGATTTTTAAGTGTCATTGCATTTCATATAAAGGTGAGTACAAAACGAAGCAGAAAACTGGATTTAGACGCGAAATAATATACAAATCAAAAACACAATTATCAGAATGAGAGTTTCATTTGATAAATTACATACTAATGTAGCGACTTAAGGATCTACCTCGCTACGCCCTCACCCTTTTTGATGTAAAGGAAAATTCCATAAAATCTTTAAGTCGATAAACTCGAAACTAAGGATGTTTGCGCTGATCTATTCAGAAGTTTACCAATTAAATATCCAAAACATTTTCAGCTTTAGTAATAGGAATGTCTCGTTAACGCCAATGTTTACCAATGCATGTTGAAAGCATAGTCGCCTGATTAGTAAACTTTAATAGACATTAATAGACTAAAAACCTTATTGTCTCAAGCAGTATAACAAAGGACTGGATGAAAGTTTGTTCTAATCTTATTCTGCCATCTTTCAGCGTAACAAATACTTCGATTATAAGGCATTTTAGTCAATTATCAACATAGACAGAAAATGAAACACTGTCACAAGAGAAATAGAAATAGAAAGTGTACCATTTCATCCTCCTGTATTTTTTTTTTTTTTTTGTCTGAGTTGGTTACACTGTGTAGAGGAAGAAAGTACGTGAGTTAAATAACAAAGCTGTTTGCTCCTATTAATTAAGCGAAAAATAGTAATATTAAGTGACCCGCATACAGTGTTACCAACTCGCTTAAAAGTATTGCGAAAAAATGTTATTTTCATTTGTTATTCTTTTTCCTATA